ATCTGCTCTGTCCCAGCAGGAATTGCTGCTGAGTGGTCTCAGCTGGCCCTGCCTTTGGTTTGGAGAACAATAGCTGGGGCTGGGGAGGGGGGCTGGGAGGACAGTCCCTGTCACCTTCTGCCTTCAGCTGAATTTTTCTTTCTTCCACTGAATCAAGTTTTGGACCCCAAGCAGCACCTCCTCACAGGATAAATTCCCTTTTTTTTTCTGGGCTCTGTGCAGCTCCACAGAAATGAGGTGACTCTGCTTTATGAGGGTGTCTCAGAGCACAAATTGGTGCCTTCACAGCTGCTTAATAATTCCTCACCTGGGCACAAATTTGTGTTGAAAGCAAAAGAAAAATCTTAAAATTAAATAGTTTTGTGACATCCCATCTGTCCTCTCCTAAAAGCAACACTTCAGGGAATCCCAAACCCTTTTTCTCTTTCCCCAGATCCATGACTCCAGCCCAAGCAGACCTGGAATTTCTCGAGAATGCAAAAAAGCTGTCTATGTATGGAGTTGACCTTCACCACGCCAAGGTGAGAACCAGCATGTGTGCATGTCTGTGGATTTTTGCAGCTGGATCATCCTCCCCTTGCATGAGCAAGTTCACCTATTTCAGGAGGGTCCTTTTGAAAGACCCAGGAAATAAGCTGGGTCCTGGTGCAGAAACACAGAAACACAACAGAAATGCCCCAGGCTCTTTTGCAGGTGTTGGAAGGGAGGCGTTTCTTCCTGATTACTTATTATTTATATATTTCAGGAAGCCTTGCAAAACTGCTCATGTAGACAGGTCCTTGCTCTGGCAGCTCAGAGTAAGGCTCTAGCCCTGCAAGGTGAGCCATGGAATTGTTAGGGCTGGAAGGGACCTCTAGAGATCATCCAGTCCAACCCCCCACTAAAGCAGGATCACCACATTCCACAGGGCTGCATCCAGGTGGGTTGGGAATGTCTCCAGAGAAGGAGACTCCACAACCCCCTGGGCAGCCTGTCCCAGGGCTCTGTCACCCTCAGAGTAAAGAAGTTTTTCCTCCTATTTTAATGAAACTTCCCATGTTCCAGTTTGTGCCTGTTGCCCCTTGTCCTGTAACTGGGAACTGCTGAACAGAGTCTGGCTCCATCCTCCTCTCTGCTCAGAGAAAGGCAGGAAAAGCTCCAGGGCTCTGAGCAAACAGGAGACCTCTGCAGGAGGGAGGAGGTTGTGAGGAGAAAGGTGAAGGGAAAGCAAGGCTGGCCCTGGCTGAGGTCTGGCTGGTGGGGAGGTGAACTGGGATTAATTTGGAGGACAGACTTGTAACCCTGCCACTGCTTCAATCCTCATCTGCTTTCCCAGGACTTGGAAGGAGTGGATATCACTCTGGGAGTCTGTTCCAGTGGCCTTCTTGTTTACAAAGATAAGCTGAGAATCAACCGCTTCCCGTGGCCCAAAGTGCTGAAGATTTCCTACAAACGCAGCAGCTTCTTCATCAAGATTCGTCCAGGGGAGGTGAGTTCTGACTTCTCTCTGCTCCTGGCATCTTTTAATTGCTTTTGTGGTAATCACCAACGTGTCTGTGTCACTCGGACACAGGGTGGGGAGGGAGCAGGCTGGGTTTCTGATCCTGGCTGGTGTTCAGTTCAGGCCTTGCAGGAGCTCTGGAACTGGGGGTGACAATTCCAACAACCTGTCATCCAGCACCACCTCCTGGCACCGCAGGGTATTCCCAGCATCCAGAGGAAAGCAGTGGGAAGGTCACAGTTTGAGACTGGGAGAGGACTGACTCTTTTTTGGGAAGCAGGGCAAGACAAAGGCTCTTTGTCTCACTTAAGAAAAACGTAAAAAAAATAAAATACAGAGGGATTCCTTTTTACTGAGGTGGCTGCAGGCAGGGGGGGCTGCCCTGCTGCTGCTTCTTCTGAGCAGGGAGATTCCCAGAACGCCTTGGTGGTGGAAACACTGTGGGGAGAGAGGTTATAAAAAGAATCTGCCTCTTTCCTCCTCTCTTTCTCCCTCCTTGTTCAACTGCCATGACCCAGACCTGCTGGGAAATATATTTTTGACCCTGTCTCACAGCTGGGCAGTATGATAGGGGGAATAAATGAGTGTGAATGGCTGCAAACCCCACAGCAAACTCCTCTGGAGATCCCAGTGCATCCTGAGAGGTGTCTGGGGGTGGTGGACCAAGCCCTGTCTGTTCTGAGACCTGAGCTCCTCCTGCACAGGGAATGAGTTCAGCTGCTTGCGGGCTCAACCAGCAGTTTGTTTATGGAATGGGGACTGGGTGCTTACTGCTTTTGTTTCTTGCTACACCTAAATAACTTCTGTTTTCCACAGCAAGAACAATATGAAAGTACAATTGGGTTCAAGCTACCAAGTTACCGGGCAGCAAAGAAGTTGTGGAAAGTCTGTGTTGAACATCACACGTTTTTCAGGTGGGTTCTCTGAACGTTCAGCCTGAGTGGCTCAGGCTTTAGATCAGTGGCTAAAAACGAACACTCCTTCACTGTTCCTTGGGGTTTCACAAGAATTTGGAGTGAAATAGTTGCAGAGACATGAAATACAATGATTTTTTAGGCAGATTTGCTTCATGAGACCCCAAAGGCAGAGGGTCTTGTGTTGATACAGGACTTGTTGCTGACGTGTTCCTCTGTTCATCATGTGCAGAGGCTGCAGCAATTTCTATCTTAATTTCTCTTTACCCTACGTTTCCTCCATCTGGAGGCACCACTGGTAAGCCATGCATGTGTGTTCCAGGCTGACATCCACCGAGGCCATCCCAAAGAGCAGGTTCCTGGCCCTGGGCTCCAAGTTCCGCTACAGCGGGCGGACGCAGGCGCAGACCCGGCAGGCGAGCGCCCTGATCGACCGGCCCGCGCCCCAGTTCGAGAGGACGGCCAGTAAGAGAGCCTCCAGGAGCCTGGATGGAGGTGAGGGTCTGCTGCTTCCTCCCTTCCCCTGCCCGGGTTCTGCAGGATGCTGAAATGCTGCTGGAACAGCACCTGAGGGATGGCGCGGGTGGGAAAGCCGGGGAGGGGCTTTTTACGAGGGCGTGTGGTGAGAGGACAAGGGGTGATGGTGTTAAACTAGAGCAAGGGAGGGATAGATTGGACATTTGGAATAAGTTATTTACTGTGAGGGTGGTGAGACACTGGAACAGGTTGCCCAGAGAGGTGTTGGAGGCCCCATCCCTGGAGACATTCAAGATCAGGCTTGATGGGGCTCAGAGCAACCTGAGCTGGTTAAGAAGGTCCCTACTCCCTGCAGGGGGTTGGACTAGGTGGCCTTTAAAGGTCCCTTCTAACCAAACACATTCTATCATTTCATTATTACATGATTCTGTGGGAAAAAGCCATAACTTCTCACTTCAACATAAGACCTGGATATAAAGTGTAAACAGAACAGTAGCACTGGAACAGGTTGCCCAGGGAAGCTGTGGCTGCCCCATCCCTGGCAGTGTTGAAGGGCAGGTTGGATGGGGCTTGGAGCAACCTGGGCTGGTGGGAGGTGTCCCTGCCCATGCAGGGGGTTGGAACTAGATGATCTTTAAGGTCCCTTCCAACCCAAACCATCCCATGATTCTGTGCTGACTGACATAGGAAGCTGTAGGTGGGTGCTGAAGGCTCATAGCAAAGTTCTGGTTGTAAAGATATTTCCTCATTCAAACTCAATGCATTTTCCTTTGAACAAATCAGGAATGAAGCTATTCTAGGGTTTGGTTTGTTTAATGTAGCTCCTTCAATTAGACAGTTTTTCTTGGAAAGGGGAAGGTTTTTTTGCAACAAAAAAGTTGAAAGCTTTTTCAGTGTCTGTTAAAGTGATGCTGATGTTGATGGTTGTGGTGTATCCATCAGGTGGGCTTGTCCCTGACATTTTCAGGAGAGCTGATAGCAGCAGGAGAGGGTGAGGCATGGAGGGGGGAGTGCCTAAGTTTGCTCCCCTTGAAACTGTAATCTTGTAAAAATTAGGATCCAGGGAATGGGGAGAATCCCTTTGCACCCAGGGAGCAGGGAAGGTGCTGCTTTGAGCCCTGAGGATGTGCTGCAGCCTGGGGGGGAAGTAGGGCTGCCCCAGCCTCTGTGGCCAGCTGGGCTGTCCCTGCTCCTGGAGTGGGTCTACAGGGCTCAGTGACACCCTGAGCTTCATTCCTGGGAGCCAGGAGAGGAAGAGCTGCTTGGTTTGAGCTCCACAGCAAAGCAAGAATTCCAGCTTGCCTGTTTCCGGGTGTGCCAGGTTACCCAGGCAAGGGTAAGGGTTCTTGGAGGCAAGGGGACTAGGGTTCTTGGTTGCCCTTTGGACTTGCCCAGGTCAGCAGAGAAATCCCTGTTCCAATCCCACCCTCGAATGCCAGAGCTTGGAAAAGTGCAGCCTGGGAATGTCACAGTGTCCGTGCTGAAGCCTGCAGCCTGTTTCCCTCTCTGGGTGGGCAGTCCTTAACGTGTGCCCCGTTTCCTCAGCTAAACGTGCGACTCAAAAAGTTGAGTTCAGAGCCCTAGAGGAAGAGAAGCAGGAGGTGGAGGTGGTGGTTGAGGTTCCTGAACCAAAACCCATGGATCAGATCCAAGAGAAGCCAGGTATAGCTGTGGTGGTGGCTCTGACTCTTCTGCCGTGCCTGTCCTGTCCTTTACATGCTTGTTCCTGACAACTCCCAAGTTTCACCAAATCTGGTGGCTCTCTTTTTATTTATTATTCTTTCGTTGCAAGAAGAGTTTGGCAGCAGAGGACAAACAGCCCAGCTCTGGGAGACTCCTTAGATTGCCACCTTGCACCTCTGGGTGCAAGACTGGGATCCTTGTGGGGAACTGGGGAAGAATTCAGGGTGTTGCTGGCACTTGAGACCTGTCTCCTTGTTCAATTCAGGTGGTTTCATAAATGTGGGTTAGAAAACTTGGTAGTTTGATCTTGAAACTTCTTGTAAAGCTTCTGAAATTCTTCATCCCAGGACCTACTTGTTTTTAAGCTTATTCTGGGTTTTTTTTTTTTGTGGGGGTGTTGAAGAATGCCACCCATTTTGCTACATAGAACTTCTATTTCTCTTGAGATGAGAACTGTTAATAAATATCAATGCCCTTAAGAGGTACAACAGCATATTTGAATACTGATCAGCATATCACAGCAGTGGTGTTGTGAAATATTTGCACTTTTCATCACTTAAAAAGCAGGTGCCTGTGGTGCATTAGGATGGAGAGAATTCATATTCAAGTGCCTTCTGTGCTGCTTCCACCCTGGAGGTTTTTTACAGCATGATTTTGACAACCCTGTTTTTTTTTCTGGTATGAAACCTAGACCAAGCTTTCCTGCAGGAACGTGGCAGACTCTCTCCTACCATGATCTGGCCTTGAATTCTTGCTAGCAGGGAAAACCTGGTGCTGTAAAAACAGAAGATGGAGGCTAAACATTCAAGACACCAGGACAGCTGGCTGTATGTTCTTAATTTTTACATTTGCAGGTGATCACTCAAGCACGTCTTATGCAAGCTGCTAGTTTTTAGATAGGTTTTTGTCTAGATGAGCCTAGGGGTGTTTTTCCTGGGTGTTTCTTGCATCTCCCCAGACTCTGCAGGCAGAGCCCGTCCTCGAGAGCCGTTCATGTGTCCCCACGTATCCCTGCCCGGGCTAGGAGCCTGCAAAGCTTATTTTACTTTGTTTTTCTCCTCTCCTCCAACACATTCTTGGGCCTGGCAGCACTAGACAGAGTGACAGGCAATTGCATGGTGAAAAATGATTGCAAAGCTGTCTGGTTTATAAACCTCCTTGCTGCTTTTGGAGAGGGATCTCCTCTCACTCTTCCCTCTGCTGCAGCGACTGTCGTGTGTCTGGGTCTCCACCCACTCCATTAACTCATGCAAACCTCTTTCTAGCCAAACACCTTCTTGAAACTTTTGAAATGAAACCCATTGCAGAGGAGGAAGAGGAGGAGGAGAAGGTAGAGGTGGTTAAGGTTCCTGTTGCTGAGCCAAAGTTCCTGGAGCCACGGTCAGGTACAGCCACAGCGGCGTTCGGCACCGGCGCGGCTCCCGCGCCTGCCTGTGCTGTCACCTGCTGGCTTGAAGTGGTGCAGTGCTGTAGGACAGAGGTGGCATCATTTGTGGTGGTGTTCATTGCCATTAAAACCACCCTGGGCTTTGCAAGTGTGCTGTGATACACGAGTGCTGCTTCCCCAGGGGCAGAGGAGGAGGTGCTGTGGCTTGGCCGTGTGTCTTTGTGGTGATGTGAGTGTGCAGTGGCCTTTTAACCCCCCGCTCTGTTCCTTGTAAAGTTTGTTCCCTGGAGCTGTGGGGACGTCTGGTGCCTGCAAATCAGGTGGTGTGCTCAGGGAATGCTGGAAATCACCTACACTTGGCTTTTTTCTTGACTGGGGAGCCAGCGTCTTCCCTAGTTGGGTGGGTTTTTCAGAGCAGCTTCGTTGCTGCAGCCAGATGTACCCTCATCGTCATTAAAAGCAGAGCTGGTTGGTCACTGCAGGGAGAGGAGATTGAAGCCACGGAGGGAGGTGACTGGGAACTTCACCTGTTTTCCTCAATGTCATGAAACACAGCAAACCAGCCCCTGTGCTTCAAGTCAAGTGTGTTCCATGGGATGGACACAGTGTCACACCCAGCACATCCAGGCTCTCCTGCTGCAGCTGCTCCTTCCTTCTTCTCATTCACCTCCTGCACTTTTTCCACCTCTTGACACTTTTGTTCCCAGTAGGGATGGTTTTGTTGGCCAGGGTGATGATGGCTGGTATTTTGGATTTCATCTTTTGGAGCAACATTTTTTTTACTGTGTTTAAATCATCAGATGTCAGATTAGCTGAAGGTTTTAAGTCAAGAAAATGTAATTAAAATAATGCAGTTCTGGCCAGCACTGAGTTCCTTGCTGAGTATCAAAGGAAAATCCTAGGATCTGTTGTTATTTCCCCCATGGCTGGATGCTCTGAGGGAAGCAGGGGTCCCCTCAAAGAGAGGTGACCCTGCAGAGTGACACTATTTCCTGTGTGACTTGATCCTCGAGGTGGCATTTTAACCCCTGCATAACTTTTTTAGCCAAACCTGCTCTTGGCAGTGTTGAGATAAACCCAATTGAAGAGGAGGAGGAAGAAAAAATGGTGATGAGGAGAGGACTAGAGCCGGTCCCACAGGAGCCAGGTACCACCACGAGGGCTTTGCACACCCAGCATCCTCCTGATCCCCCACTGTCCCTCTGTCCAACCTCCCCGGCGGCTGTCACTGCTTCTGTGGCATCAGTGACACCTGGACACGGTGCTGGTTGTCCTTCCCAAAGGATAACACCATGTCTGGCTCACAGAAATGAACTGCTGTGCCAAAGGCAGGGGGAGATAATGGAGGTGGTGGTGGTGGTTTGGGGTCTTAGCGTGGATTTTCAGCTCCAGGTGACGTCCAGGAGTTTGTCTTCTAAGACAAACTTGTCTTAGAAGTGTCATTTCAGTCTTTGAAAAATCAGGTTCTTTTTTTGGCCCCTCCACCTTACCTTTTTGGCCACATGGACACTTTATCTTGTACCTGTTTTATTTGCACAGTTGAGATGCAGTTATCTTTTCAGGAATTCTTACCAAAGAGTCACTCAAAATGACCATTTCTTTTCTAACACCAAATTTTCCTGTGTCTTTGTCGAGCTGGATGGCCACTGGTAACCTAGTGTTGCCTGGGGTAAGTTACACAGTGTCACCATTGCTGCATCAACTGTGGCTTTAGGAATATGAGACCATGTCCAAGGAATTCTTCCAAGTGGCAAGGTCTGTTTTTAGTGTAGGTCCACACAGTGAGTTGATTTGGGCTGGCTTTGTCACACAGCATCGGCTTGAATATTCTGGAAGTGTCAGGTTCTTCAGGGATTGGGAAGTCAGGAATTGAAGGACAGGGTAGGCAGCTCATTTTATGTGTACCTAGTGCTTGTGTTTAAGACTGTCATCCTCTGGAAAGATGATGATTTGGCAGCATGCTGTTCATTTCTGCACTGATCTGGAGATGCTGGGTGTCTTCTCGCAGCAGCGCCTTGGGCAGATCCCCACCTGGGACACGCAGCCCCAGCCTGCTTTGAAACCCACCTGGAAAGCTTGTTGATTATTTTTCTGGGGTCTGAATCACTGAAAAGACGGGGGAGATAGGGAGAAGCCTGTGTTACCTTTCCAGAAACCATCCTTTTCTGGTTGAGAAGATGCCAATGAGTCAAGAACTTAGCACAGCTTGAAGTGTTTCTGTTTCAACGGGTGCATTGGGACGGACTTCTTTGTCTGTTGTGTGTGAAGGACCCATAAATCAATGGCTCAGTGTCAAAAACAGATTTGTCTTTCTGGTGTGGCTTCTCTGCAGAGTGCAAGCTTGCTTTTTGTAAACCATCTGGTGTGGGGTTTTGGTTTTATTTGATTTAATCCATAAGGAAAATAATCTCAACTCTCCCGTACTAAACGCACAAGCTGCTTTGCTCAACATCTTTCTTTTCCCTTTTTTTCCTTCCTCTTCCATTTCTTTTTAAATGACAACACTGTAGTTTGGAAAGACTTTGCCTGGTGCTTCAGAAGTGTGATCTGCTCTGAACCTTGTCCCTTTCTGTCTCTTCCCCCATCCTCAGCAGTGGCTGTGATAACCCCCGAGAAGAGTCCCCGTCCCACCTCTGCCCCAGCCATCGCTCAGACCCACGTTGCAGAACCAGTCCCAGCTAAATCCACCCTGAAGGATGTGGTCATTGCCTCTAAAGTAGAAAAAGAAACAGCAAAACCTGATGTGAGGCGTGAAGAAATTCCACTGGAGAAAGCCAAGGTGGAGGCAGCTGATGCTTCAAAGGTAACGTCAGGCCAGAGTTTCCTTGGAGGAGGCTGCTCTCGTGCCAGGCTGGAGCATCAGCTCTAGGAACCTCCCCAGAACAGCAGCTCTGGGCACCTGCCCCTCTACATCTCCAAGGGGTTTATTCCTATCCCAGGCATCAGGTGGGAGTGAGATATGGAGCCCTGTGTCCCAGGGAAATCCCATCCTCGGGTGCGAGGAAGGAGGAGGTGCGGGGGACTGGGTTTGGGTGGTTGCACTCAAATAAGAAATTCCTGATGGGTGGTTAAAAAGGCTGGCAAGAATTGCAGAGAAGTTCATGGGAACTGAATTGAGAGCTCACCCAGTGCTCTCTGCTGATTCCTGGTATGACAGCAGGAGCAATTCCAGTGAAATCAGTGATAGGGATCTAGTTCTCAGCCCAGTCTGACTGCAAATGTTTTGACATTGATAGGCTTTCCCTGGCGAGCTCTTAGCAGGGTTCTGCAAACTGGCTGAAAACTCTGAATGGCACTTGTTGAGACCTTGGGGGGTCCATTATTGACATGAAATATGCTTCAAGATTATTTGAGCATTTTTTTTCCAAAGCCCTGAGCCCTCTGCTGAAGTTGATCTGTGTGTTGTTCTCCTCAGTGGAACTAAAGTGGAGAATTGTTGCTCATCTTACAGTGTCCTTAAAATTCTGCACATCTGATTGACAGAAACCTTCCCGTGGTGCAGCAGAGGTGTATGCCAGGAGATAAAATGTTCACATCACTGGAATATTTAGCTGTTCTCAGCATTACTGGAGGCACATTTTTTGCCATAACATCCCAACCAGTGGGTCTTGTATGATGTGCTCCAGGGGAGATCACTATGAATTCAGGTTGGGAGATGGAGCTGAAGAAAGGACAGTTGCTTTTAAAAAAATACTGGGGCCCCAAACCCAGTAATTTTTCAATGAAAATGCTGAAAGGATCTTCAGGATGGCACCTGGGAGTGTGCATGGTGGCACATGGTCCCTGTCATCCTGTTCCTGCCCACCCTCCCAAGCACTAAACTGAGATCAAGTGAATTTAGTTCATCCCATCTACTACAGGGTTTTTAAAAAATAGTTAAACATTGGACTTGCTTTTTCTTTTCCCCCTCCACTGTAGTTGTGGGAGGAAATTGAGGATTTGAAGTGCCAAATTTACTCTGTTTCTCAATTGTAGCTGCATCACTTCTTTTCACACCCACTGATGCTTCCCCTTCAGGAGTATTTATCAAGCCAGTTTCCTAAAATACTTTCCTTAAAGTCTTAAGACAATCCTGGCTCTCTCTTTACAGCCAGTAAGGAACTTATTTGACAATGTGAGGTTTGATTTTGGAGATAGATCCCTCCTCACTGCCTCTGTGAACATAACAACTGTGCATAACAAGTAATGTTGGGTTTTGTGAGGTGTTAACTTGAGCATGTTGCTTTTGGTCCGGATTTCCCTGGGAGATCCAGCTGCAAGTGAAATTGGAGAAGCAATGCCTGGCAAAGCTGATGCTGAGAGGGTCTTCAGAAGCACTGGGGAGCACTGGTTTCAAATGCAAATCATTCTGAAGCCGAAGGAATTGTTTGAACTGTCCACTAACAGAGCTTCAGTGTCATTAACTCTTCCCCCAGGGCTGCATGTTGGTTTTTGCATGTTCACCCAAGCCTTTGGAAACCAACTTGATGCAGCAGTGTTTTGAAACTAAATGGTCTCTGGAAACAACTCTACTAACAAGAAATGTTTTTACCAATTTATTTCTTAAATGTAGGTGAGGAAAACCCACATTGAGGTCACAGTACCCACCACGAATGGTGACCAGCCCCAGGTTTGTGCTGATCATTCAGTCAGGTTGCTCACATGATTGATTTTTTTTTAAAGGTTCTGCAATGAGGTTCAACGTAATGAAATGAACCAACAGTGTTATTTTTTTTTTCTGTTTTTATCACTGCCCAACATCAGCAGCCTGCAGAAAAAGAGGAAGAGCTGATAAGAATGAGGAAGGTTAGCCATTTTACTCTTTCACCACACAAATTTGCCATCTCATTCATGCATCCCTAACCTGTTTAAAAAGACAGTGCTCCAAATCCTTGGTGTGCTTTGGGTTGGCTTTTCTTTTTTTCACACTGCAGCCATCCAGAGATTGGATTGGAAAATGAAAAAGCTTTTTTTTTTGGTCCCATAGTCTGGATTGCAAAAAAAATTCTGCATGTTTGAAAGTTCGAAAGAAACACACTTGGTTTGATTGATAAAATTCAGCTTCTCTGTAAGAAATTCAGTTAGAAAGCAAAGAAAACTGTAGAGTGTGCACTCCAGGAAATGCAAAAAAAATTAAAAAGTGATTTTTTTAATTGATTAAGCAATAGGGTAAGGTGAAAAAGGTGCTTAAGATGTAGCTACAGTGCACATTGAGACCTGGTGAAAGGCACAGGTCAGGAAAAGTTAGGAAGTTGGGACTTGGTGCAAAGCTTCCACAGAAAAACCTGGAACTGTCTCTTTAAAGGACTCATTGCATCCCCCCCATTCTCCATGAGCAAGAACCCCTCTATGTCCTGGTGATGGGTCCCTGTGGCTGGGTCCCCACTCCCCCAGCACAGCTCTGCTCTCCCAGCCTTCAGTTCCCTTTTTAATTTGCCAACTTATCCACCCTGCAAGAACAACATTTTAATTTTTTGTGCTTTTTTTTTTCTTTTGTTTTGTTTTGTTTCCCCCTTTTCTTTCATTTTCACAGAAGAGATCAAAGAGGCTAGATGGTGAAAACATTTATATCAGGCATAGCAATTTAATGTTGGAGGTTTGTATGATCTTGAAGCTTTTTTCAGTTGCATTTGCCTCGACCTTTTGCATCTGTGCTCAACTTTTTTCTTCCTCTCCTGCTGCTGCCTTTGTTTTTTGCATGCTGTTGCATGAAAGACCTTTTGGTTTTGTTGCATTTTCTTTCAAACAAAGAAACAAACAGGCTTTTGCATGGTGACAGTAAACATGACAATGTGCAGGCCTTCTTCCTTCTACCTCTTCTGACTTTCATTCTCTCATCCTTCCTCAAAATATATGATTGGGAGAGCTCAGGTCTGCTCTTGGACCCCCTGGGTGCTCAAAAGTGGGATGAATCCTGGTGAGGGGCTCGTTTACAAGTTTCTCCCTGGTTGAAAGAAGTTCTTTTCCTGAGGGAAAAACACACCCTATGAAAATGCCCAAACCAGGTTAAATGAAATGGTGAAATGGCTGAGGCCACCACCGTGTCCACGTTGCTCCAGACAGGAGCAAATCCTCCTTTTGGCCATTGCTGCTGGGGTTGCAGGGATGCCTGCAGCCTTGCAATGCTCTCCCACTGCTCTCTTGCCTTGCAGCACCATTAAATGCTCCCCCAGCCCCATCCTGCATCAGTGCCAGGTCCCCTCAGAGGTGACACAGGACCTCGGTGGCCTGTGGGTGGGTGAGAAGCCATTTCATCCCTCCACAGGCAGCTCTTCCCTTTGGCTTCAGGAGCCCTTTACACTTGGTTTCACCCAAGCACAGTCTCAGAACAGACCATGCCAATCATATATTTGATTTTCTTTAATACTTGGTGTTCCAGAAGACGTTTTGTGGCTTCTGATACTCTCTTCTGTGTTACGTGTTTCTACTCAAACTTGCAGCACCAGCAGCTGGTAGGGTTCCCCCTGTGGGTTCCTCCCTTGCAATCCAAGTGTACTAACTGCCTTCTAATCTGAATTTTAAAACTTTTGCAGCTTTTTGGATGGGAGTTTTGGTATATCTTTGGCTTTTTTTTGGACCGCTACAACTTCAAGCCTCCGGCCACGAGCGAAGGGTCTGCGGCACCACGGGCAGGGTTGAGCCACCAAGCTGAACCTGTCTCTTTTCTTTCACCAAACTCAAGCTGCTCCATCTCCCCAGCCCCAAGCAGAGTGTTTTTTTCATTGCTTCTAAACCCCTTTTTCCTGCTAGTGCAATACTTGGCTCTGGCACCCAGGCCCATCTCCAGCCCGTTCCTCTTGTGGAACCTCCCCACCAGTTCTGTTGCAGGTGCTCCAACCCTCCCCTAGAAAAGGGCTGACCCCAGCAGCTCATCCATGTTACTCCTTTCTATTTTTAACACCCACGTTTGACAGATCAGGTGTTTTTCCAGCAGAACTCACCCTCCTGAACCTGCTGCTTGATTTTCTTGGAAGCATTTAACTGCTCCGTGACCCGCGCTCCACGTCCTGGCAAAAAGAGCAAAACAGGAGGAGAAGCATCAATGCTTATTGAGCTTGTTCCTCCAGATGCTTCCAAGACCCCTTGTGCCTCCATGTAGCTCCTTGTGCCTTTAGCTTCTCTGCAAACCCTCCCAGGACCAGCTCTTGTGTGGATGGCCAAGGTGGTTTTTCCCTCTTCTCCAAACCAGGAGCAGTGCTGGGGCTCCTGGACCTGGGCAGGGCTTGAACCTGGAGTTACCTCAGCAGACTTTTTGTAATTTTTCTATTTTTCCTAACTAGCCCACACTTGCCTTGTGCTTTCATCCAGGGTGGATGCCCAAACTGTTTTTTTGCCCCCCTAGAACTGTGCCAAAAAGAGCAATTTGGGGCTCTAGCCCCATGGTGGGAGGGTGGTGTGTCCTGGGTGAGCTGGAGGAATGAAGATATTGGGGGAACACCTCCTTTAGGGATGAATTTGCTCTCCCACTTCCTAAAATCCACGGGCCAAATACCAACTGCAAGCACAAAAATAGTGACATTTCCCACTGCTGCTTTCACTGACCTCAATTTCCCCCTCTCTCATGGGTGAGACTTGCTGCTTTTTGGCACTGTCCCGAAAAGCTGGTGTTTGGCTTCAGCCTCTTTTATGCCAAAGCTTTGTTTTCAACAGACTCTGTTTTGCTTGCAATGAAAAGCTGGTTTTGAAACAAGTTGGGAAACAGCTGATTTGCCTTGAAGTCTGTGTATTTATGCTGTCAGCTGGCCTCTCAGAGCAGAAACTTGGCTTTGTCCAGATGAAGAATCTGAGCAGGAGTTTCCTGATTGATCTGGGCAGAAAGAAAATTCACAGTTTGATTTCAGCTGCCATCTCATCCTTCTTTCAGAAGTCTTAAACTTCCTGTGGCTCCTGGAGAGATGGGATGAGATGAGAGAGAGGCAAGGGGGAAGGTGTTCTGGGCCCAAGGAGAATTCCTGGTAGGATGAAGGAGAAATGGGTATGAAGAGAAGAAACAAAATGGGGAAAATATTTTCTTAAACATCTGACTGCATTTACTTGATATGGAGCTCCTGGAGAGAGTCCAGAGGAGGCCACAGAGATGATGCAAGGGCTGGAGCAGCTCTGCTATGGAGACAGGCTGGGAGAGCTGGGGTGTTCAGCCTGGAGAAGAGAAGGCTCCAGGGAGACCTTAGAGCTCCTTCCAGTGCCTGAAGGGGCTCCAGGAAAGCTGGGGAGGGACTTGGGACAAGGGCAGGGAGGGAGAGGACAAGGGAGGATGGATCAAAACTGGCAGAGGGGAGATTGAGGTTGGAGATGAGGAGGAAATTGTTGGGTGTGAGGGTGGTGAGAGCCTGGCCCAGGTTGCCCAGGGAAGCTGTGGCTGCCCCATCCCTGGCAGTGTTGAAGGGCAGGTTGGATGGGGCTTGGAGCAACCTGGGCTGGTGGGAGGTGTCCCTGCCCATGGCAGGGGGTTGGGACTGGATGAGCTTTAAGGTCCTTCCAACCCAAATCATGATGATTCCCTGAATCTATGATTTATAACCATATATATTCAGCCCAGCAGAGGGAGAAGAAAGCAACTCCACCCAATTTCAGGGCATTAAATGAACTAACACAAACAAACATATGATGCCAATTTAAAAAAAATCCCATATGGGGAAACCCAGATGCCCCCTCAGTGTCATCTGCTCTGGTGCAGCCTGAGCTGAACCGATGGCACATCCTGCTCCTGGAGGAGCCAGTTGTGGTTTATCACAGTTAATCCAAGAGGGAA